AGTCTACTACTGCCGTCTTTTTTCTTGACGAGTACGACCGGGGATGCGTAGTCGGAGGTGCTCGGTTGGATTATCCCGTCTTCCAGCCACTGCTTGACTTGATGGTCCACAGTCTGTCTATCGGAGTGCGACATGCGCCTTGGTCTTTCGTATACGGGAGCATCATCCGACAACAGGATCTTCATCTCTACTGGCGACTTGGTATTCTTTATGGGCTTGTATTCCGCTATCATTCTCCTCACAGACTCTTCGTGCTCCTTGTTCAAATGTGCCAGATCAACGTCGTCAGCTAGCACCTCTCTCAAATCAGCAACCAGGCATAACTCCTCAAATTCTGCGGCTAGTTCGTCAACTCTATTAGTATCTCTCGCCACTACTCTATCGCGCTTAGCAGCATTAGATGCTATTACTCCAACGGCATCCACCTCTGCTGTCCTCCGACCTCTCGCATTCGCTCGCGTCTTCGCTACTACAACGCCCGCCTTATTAATGCCCTTTGCCACCGACGCCTTATGCCCTTGAGTCTGCCTTTGTAGCTCAACTGTCGCGTCCACGCGCCTCTTCGCGCCCGCCTGCACCCTTGTGCCGAATCTGCCGTCTACCGTCACACACTTTACCTCTGTACCATGTGACCTGTTAACCGCCGAAGCTGATTTATCTACTTGCATCTCGCTTTGTTTCTCTGCCTTCTGCCTGAACTTCGCGCCGTCCTCTGTTACGATTAGGTCAACTTGTTTCAAAACGTTGTTCCCAATTACGAGCGCGTATTTTATATCTCTCTCCCTGGCTACGTGAAAGGTAAATTTTAGCTGAACGTCGTCTATAATGAGGTATACGGTAAAGCTGCCCAATGTGGTGAGCTCGCTAGTACCGATCCCCACTAACCTACGCCTCTCGTTATCCAAATCTACATCTAAATTCAACATCATAAGCGTATCATAACGCATCAGACACAAATCGCAGCCCGTGTCGATTAGGGCAGATGCGATTACTCCGTTAAAATTTATATCTTTGAATATTAAGTTACTGTTCTTTCCCGACTTCGGAAGAGGCAAGTCGTCTGACATAGTGTTCACGTGGTTCCTCTCGGCACGTACAGGAACTCTGGGGTACTCTACAGTCAGCTGCCTTGTGGCCCTATTTGCCGCATTTGAAACAAGTCATTCGCCTGCGAGGGCAATTCCTAGCTAGGTGCGCGGTGTCACCGCAATTGAAACATCCTCTAACTTTCGCTGTTGAGCTTGGAAAAACCTTGTTTGATGACGATTTGGCGTTGCTACTAGTCTGAGGCTTGTTGGCCTGGATCTTCTCATATACCTTTATTTGCTCTTTTAATTGTTGGATAGTCTTCGCCTGATACAGATTACTTTTATTCGACCTAGTGTCGGGTATCCCCTCGATAAAATAATCGATTAAGCTGGCCTCGTCTATTTTTATTGGTTTGCNAGCGTTGAAGGGATTCTGAGGTACTCTACAGTCAGCTGCCTTGTGGCCCTCTTTGCCGCATTTGAAACAAGTCATTCGCCTGCGAGGGCAATTCCTAGCTAGGTGCGCGGTGTCACCGCAATTGAAACATCCTCTAACTTTCGCTGTTGAGCTTGGCAAAACCTTGTTTGATGACGATTTGGCGTTGCTGCTAGTCTGAGGCTTGTTGGCCTGGATCTTCTCATATACCTTTATTTGCTCTTTCAATTGTTGGATAGCCTTCGCCTGATACAGATTACTTTTATTCGACCTAGTGTCGGGTATCCCCTCGATAAAATAATCGATTAAGCTGGCCTCGTCTATTTTTATTGGTTTGCCTATTTCCATTAAAACGTATAGATATTCTCTGAGATCTTCCCCCTGATGCTTCCTACGGTTGCGAAGGGCTCGATGCACTTCGACGGATGACAGCGCGTCGCCGAATTCTTGCTGCAATGCGTGCTTTAGGGAGCACCAACTAACAATGCCGCTTTGGCTGCGAATTAATATTTTCGCACCGCCCTTCAACAACTGCTTTGCGTAAATAAAACGTTGTAACTCATCCCAACCTACAGCTTCCGCGTTCGCCTCAAAATCTTCGAGCCACTGCTCATAACTGGGACGCCCTGATCCGCTGAATGAGGTCATAGAATCCTCAATGTCGCGAAGAGTAAAACCGGACCTTCCAACCCTAGCCTCGCGCACGCTCTGCTGGCTTTCTACCTCATCGCCATCGGTTTCTCCGCCGTCCCTCACATTAAGGCCAAAATGTTCCAGTAATCGGCCTTGTAAAGTCGATTTACGTCCGGTCGTCGACAAGCCTAACTCCCCCAATTTTTCCTTTAAACAGTCAACCGTCAAGTTTCGAATAGCGTCGCGGTCCATTGTTTACAAATTTAAATGTTCAACCTTATCAAAAAAAGCTATTTCAATTGCTTATTGGCCACACGTTTGTAATCGTATACGTATATTCGCTTATACAAGTATGCACATATGTAATTTTGGACAATATTTCGCTCTTATTGCTGCTACAATCGAATTTTCTTATTGGAAAATATTTTGTTTGTTGATCACACGCTTATATTCGTATACGCGTATTTGCCTATACCCGTATGTACATATATAATTTGGAAAATATTTCACTCTTATTGCTGCTACAATCAAATTTTCTTATTGGAAAATATTTTGTGTTTGTATGTAAACGTAAAATGAAGGAAACACACATGTGCGACTACATATTACAATATACATACATACATTAAATTCACAACATGTACTCATCTGCTTCTTGGTTGAGATTTCAACCCCGCTGCTGTCAACTTCTGTCGCCTGGCTCTTCGCTCCCTCGCTACTATACGTTGGTTTTGCGTTGCCTGCGCGTTGGTTTTGATGCTCAACGCACCGCTGTCGCCGTCGCTGTACTACTGCGCAGTCGTAGCTGTAGTGAGTTGCGCTTTACTCGACTAGTAGTTGCCGATTCTGCCGCTGTTGCCGTCGCTGTACTCTTGCGCAGTCGTAGCTGTAGTGAGTTGCGCTTTGCTCGACTAGTAGTTGCCGATTCTGCCGCTGTTGTCGTCGCTGTACTCTTGCGCAGTCGTAGCTGAAGTGAGTTGCGCTTTGCTCGACTAGTAGTTGCCGATTCTGCCGCTGTTGTCGTCGCTGTACTCTTGCGCAGAGTTTTAGTTTGTTGTGCGTTGTCTTATAGTTGGCAGATCGCTGCCGCGATCTTCGTAATTTACGCCAAGCCGAGCAGATATGCGCTGTCTTTGCGAATTTTTGCGGTTGGGTAAGTACCGCAACGATGCCGAAAATTTTCCGTACAACGACGCACACGGACCACTATAATAACGGTTAGGTGCCGTTCTTTTAAGCACATAGAATGTACAGTCTTTAATTTAAAACTTTGGTTTTTTGGTTTTCGTGCGCAATTATATGCACAAACATACAGCCAACGATTTTGCGTTTAGTGACGCCTGACAAAATGTTTAATTTCGCGTATATATAATTCCGCGCTTACGAGTTTCACATACACATATGCTCGTACACTCCACTGTTTAAGTTTTTTTTTTTCACATATTATGGATTCGTACCACTTTTGACGCCACTTGTAGGATGGCCCTTCAATAAATACACGCACACGAGTTTAGTTTTACAAATAACACATAGTTTTATTTTGCTTGAAGGCGTCCTTACTAGCTAGATTAATTAAGGTTCACTTTTACAATAGATCCGTCCGTTCCGTGTGGCCGTGTACTTGCGAGTGTCCGTTTGCTCAGTTCGCTTCTTTCTTATTCTCCTCCTTTCGTCAATCGGGTCGTTTTCAGAGTTGTGTGTGTAAGTTGAACAGTGTTGTATTTGTCAGTCATTGGTCAGGGTTGCTTAGTGGCATTTTGTGTTCGTCCATCTGTCCAGTCCCACATATATTTTAGTAATCNACCAGCAATATATGTAAAAGTAGTGGCGGCTGTTGTAGAGCATTACGCAGCGCCTGAGCTCAAGCCCAGTTTCCCATCAACATCAAAATATAAAAAACAAAAAAGTTTTTTCTAATAGCGGTTGCCCCTCTGTTGGTAATAGTAAACCTGCGAGTATATTCTGTCATGGAAACGACTTCTCATAAAAATACAATTGCCGTGCGGAGTCGGCGTAAAACTGTCCTATACTTTGTGTGACAAAATCACGCACGCCACATATCGGAGGAGAAGCTAGGCCAAACACTAACATATTGTGTAAGCGCCAATATGTATATCGTCGTTTAAAGTACAAAAGCGCGCATCGTGGTTCTGCAAAACCTCGTAACTGACATTTGTGCCAAAAAAAGATATTTGGTCACCGCAAGCTCCTGGCATCAAGCCCTTAGCCATTTATAATAAAATATCGATACTTAGACATAAGGAAAAGAGATAATTAAGTTTAAACAAGTAAGAAAGTCTAAGTTCGGGCGGAGCCGAGCATTAAATACCCGGCGCAAGTATTAAATATATGTTTTTCACCTTTCCGAAAGCTACCGCTACATGGTAAACCGGGGTGTATCCATTTTGAGTAAATTAGCGTCCTTAAATTTCGAAATATTGAAGTTTCAAGCGTTTCTGAAATTTACTGTGATATGAAAAGCGGCCGTGATTTAAGTTCGATTTCAATAATTTTCAACGTTTTGCTTCTATATGGCAAGCACACCGAGTTTGGTACAAATTGGTAGAACGGTTACCGAGATACATATATGTNAGAACCGTTTTTAATTAGGACATGTTTTACTCTCTCCTATAGAATTTAGGCAACCTCACATACGAGGTTTTGAATTTTTTTGATGCGCGGTTTTGTACTTTAAAGCTGATGCCAGATAAAACTTTTCGGCTTTGCGTGACATTTATAACTTTCCAGCAAAGCGCAAGACGCAAATGGTATGCCAGAATGAACACTTTGGCAACACCCGTTTCATTTGTTTAAACGTCAAAATCGCTGTGAAATTAATACAAAAAATTAAAAAATGTTTTTGGAGGATATTTTAGAAATATTATTAGTGCTGTTAATGCATGAAGCTTTGATGTGCTTGACAAAAACTCCAAGGCGGCGATTTTGGGTCTGAAGTCTCTACCAAGACCGGGACAAGACAGGCCTGTTTGCCTCCAGTTTTGAGGAAATGTACCAACGCGATCCGGAACAGTTCAGAAAGAGTGTCCGGATGACCACTTCGGTTTTTGACTTGTTGCACCAATTTTTGGAGAAACGTCTTACAAAAATGTCCAACAGGCCGTCAATATCTTCAAAGTGCAGACTTTTTTTAACGCTTACGTGACTGACTTGTAATTCAGTTAGTAAAATACCTATGTATGTAGATAACTTAACCATAAATATACATTCATATGTATTCTTTAACATTTCATTTATATGCAGATAATATATACATATATAATAAGTGAGGTGTGTGATGCAATTTGGGAGGAACTGGGGAGCATCTACTTGCCGGTTCCGAAAAAACATGAGTGGAAACGCATTGCTGCTGACTTTAATACTATGTGGAACTTTCCAAATTGTGTTGGCGCGGTAGACGGAAAGCACATAACCATTTCATGCCCCCCCCAATTCCGGCTCTATGTATTATAACTATAAAGGAAATTACTCCATCGTACTCTTGGCGAGTTGTGATGCCAACTACACGTTCACGACCGTCGATATCGGGGCTTATGGTTCCCAAAGTGACGGTGGAATATTATGGAACTGTGACTTTGGGCAAGGGCTGTTGAGTGGTAATTTAGATTTACCTGTTGACGATTACCTGCCAGGGACACTCATCAAATTCCCTCATTTTATGGTTGGAGATGCTGCGTTTCCTCTCAAAAATTGTATTATGCGGCCATATCCGGGTTTGTAAATAACAACTTTAATATACATATATAAATGTTTGATATGCATATCTTTTTTCATTTAGGAATACGTTTGCCAATTGATCGTGAAGTTTTTAATAAGCGGTTATCCCGAGCGCGAAGAACTATAGAAAACGCTTTTGGAATTTTATGCGCTCGTTGGAGGGTCATGCTTGCACCGATATTTATGCACCCACAAACAGCAGAAACAATTGTAAAAGCGGCAGTGTTGCTACANATGCTTGCACCGTTATTTATGCACCCACAAACAGCAGAAACAATTGTAAAAGCGGCAGTGTTGCTACATAATTTTGTAAAATTCAACGATAGAAGTTACTGTCCCGCTGATTATGTGGACCAATACCAAGGTGAAGAAGTTATTAATGGGCTGTGGAGAAAAGAAGTCCCAACGCCGTTGCGAAACCATGGTCGCATGGCTTGCAATAATGCAACAAGAGAGCATTTGCGTTGCGGGATCAATTGAAAGACTACATCATGTCCAACCCAATTTGATTTATTCATTAATAATAACTGTGTGCATGGCGATTTTTGTTTAATACTTGTGATGTTTTTCAAGTGAAAATTTTGTTGTACTATTTTTATTTAATATGGTTTATGCTTTAACCAAAACCATAGCACTATTTCAAAGTTTATGCAAAATTTGAAAAAACGTAACATATTTTCGTTAAAACTTTGAACTTTTCAGTCTAAATAAAAATAAAAAAATGTCTTGCCATGCAGTTATGGGCCCATGAAATCTTAGTAAAATCATTGGAAGTCTTAAACGGTTTAAAATCGAATTGATTTTTAATAATTTTTTCTGGCTGATGGCTTTTTACACTTTTTTCCATATAAACAAGAATTTGCTGTAGAAAAAAAAACGGATGAGCGTTTGCGAAAAAAAATAAAAAAACATCGCCAGTTTCAATAAACTGTGCTTGTGACATTAAAAAAAATAGAAAAGCCATTAGGCAGAAACAATTATTAAAATTCAATCCGATTTTAAACCGTTTAAGACTTCCAATGATTTTACTAAGATTTCATGGGCCCATAACTGCATGCCAAGACATTTTTTTTTTTTTATTTAGACTGAAAAGTTCAAAGTTTTAACGAAAATATGTTACGTTTTTTCAAATTTGGCATAAACTTTGAAATAGTGTTATGGTTTTGGTTAAAGCATAAACCATATTAAATAAAAATTGTACAAAAAAATTTTCACTTGAAAAACATCACAAGTATTAAACAAAAATCACCATGCACACACTTTATATCGCCAATGTATATCGTTCTGTTAATATAGAAAAACCATTGGGGCTATTCAAACGAGTTAGCGACAAATATTTTACATTTTTATTTAACTTTCATTGAGATAACATCTTGAATTACTCATATTAATGACTAAAGTCCATAGTAAACTAAACATCCACATAAAAGTCCACAGATATATATTTCTACATATGTATGAATACTTACCGTATTAAATACGCACCATTACTTTTAAGCCTTAGTTTAAGTTTTTAATTAACACGAATAAAAGACTTTTCGGAATGTACAAAACCATTAACTAGCTTATTTATTCAGGTAATTCGTTTCATGTATTAGTCTCATTTTTATTTTCATATACATGTGTACATATACAGTTGCGGTTAATAAGATAGTAGCAAAATTCGAAATGATATTTCTTGCAACTTATGTTTATATATTTTTAATAATTTTCATTTAAAATATAGTTCGATCTATAATAGAAACCTGAAATGATGGTTTGAAAGGTTGCACAAAGTTCACAAAAATTAATTAAACTCAAAAAAGATGTCATCAAAGTTTTTATTCAGAATTTTTATAAAATTTTCGAGTTTGCAGTTTCGTAGCTCATTTTAGTATAATAAAGTGCAAGTTTCAAGTCACTAAAAACTACCGTTGATTTTTGAGAGTTTTTTAGATGGTATTGATCAGTTTTTCCATATAACGAATGAACAATGTCTGATTTTATTTTTTCAATAGAGGAACATTTAAGTTGATATATAAAATGTTTTTGCTTGCTTATCTATTTAAGCCAAAAATATTAGAAAACAAATAAAATGTTATAAGTTTTNCTTTATATCGCCAATGTATATCGTTCTGTTAATATAGAAAAACCATTGGGGCTATTCAAACGAGTTAGCGACAAATATTTTACATTTTTATTTAACTTTCATTGAGATAACATCTTGAATTACTCATATTAATGACTAAAGTCCATAGTAAACTAAACATCCACATAAAAGTCCACAGATATATATTTCTACATATGTATGAATACTTACCGTATTAAATACGCACCATTACTTTTAAGCCTTAGTTTAAGTTTTTAATTAACACGAATAAAAGACTTTTCGGAATGTACAAAACCATTAACTAGCTTATTTATTCAGGTAATTCGTTTCATGTATTAGTCTCATTTTTATTTTCATATACATGTGTACATATACAGTTGCGGTTAATAAGATAGTAACAAAATTCGAAATGATATTTCTTGCAACTTATGTTTATATATTTTTAATAATTTTCATTTAAAATATAGTTCGATCTATAATAGAAACCTGAAATGATGGTTTGAAAGGTTGCACAAAGTTCACAAAAATTAATTAAACTCAAAAAAGATGTCATCAAAGTTTTTATTCAGAATTTTTATAAAATTTTCGAGTTTGCAGTTTCGTAGCTCATTTTAGTATAATAAAGTGCAAGTTTCAAGTCACTAAAAACTACCGTTGATTTTTGAGAGTTTTTTAGATGGTATTGATCAGTTTTTCCATATAACGAATGAACAATGTCTGATTTTATTTTTTCAATAGAGGAACATTTAAGTTGATATATAAAATGTTTTTGCTTGCTTATCTATTTAAGCCAAAAATATTAGAAAACAAATAAAATGTTATAAGTTTTTCATAAACTAACTATTTTTAGAAAAAAGTGCATGATCAATGCTAAAGACATATATATTATTTAGAAAGTGCACGTTCTTACCTTTAATTCGATATACATATTTTATTATGATCTACTTTTGAGGTTTAAGAATTCAGTGATACAAAAAATTAAAAGCGTTTACAATCAAGTTACAAGTGTGGGTGATATAGTTTCTTTTGCCCAGAACGTCTTTCTGCGTAGGCGGCCTTCGGCCGCGCTTAGGGATTATAACCCTTACAAAGTAGAATTCTCCTTTCTGTATTGCCGAAGAAGCGGAGCTGAACACCTTTCTGTGTAGGCGGCCTTCGGCCGCACTTAGGGATTATAACCCTTACCCAGTGATGTAGCCTTGGGAAAGGATGAGGTAACTAAAACTCCCTTTCGGTGTGGTAAACCTGGGGCTGCCGCCCCAGTGATGTATATTATGGTTACTAGGTGTTTTATAAAAATGTCTTGTGCAAATGAATATTTAACATTTTTCAAGCGAAAACCCGCAAATGAAAATTGTGAATTTTGGCCATTTTCCTAGGAAACCATAGGGGACCTAGGTTGTCGGGGGTTGTATTTTTGTCAATGGCGGTTCATTCCCTCTCCAAAAAGGTGGGTTAGAGGTGCCACGTCCACTTACCTTTCGGCCACCGCCCCTTTAACGAACGGCCATAATGGAAAGCCAACCCGTTGAATTAACTACAATATGCATTTGCACATACATGCATTTATATTTTTTATTATCACTGAATTCAGAAAACTCAAAAGCAAATCATGATATAATATGTATATCAAATTAAAGGTAAAAACTTGCACTTTCTAAATAATATAAACTTTTTTAGTATTGATTATAGACTTTCTAAAAAAAGGTTATTTTATGAAAAAATTATGACATTTTTTTGTTTTATAATATTTTTGGCTGAAATATATAAAAAAAGCATACACATATTATATATCAGCTTGAAGATAAATTAATTGTCTTTATTTTGATATAATTACCGTTTGAATCGGTTGCGCAGTTTAGAAAATATTAATATTTTAAAATATCAAACTTTTTTTGTTTTACCTTTTATATCTACTTTACTTTTTAATTGCGGCAAATAATATTTATATAGTTAAAATCAGCGTAAAAAGTACTAGCAATCTGCATTTTTAGTATTTCTATAGCTGAACGGTTGGTTATCTTGATGTATGCCCGAAATAATTGCGAGCTTTTATCGAAGAAGCATGGCTGCATTTTAATCGCTTCGATTAGCCTTTCCTCCATTATTTACTTGCTGGAAAGTTAAAATCTATACTTTAAGTACCAATTGTAGTTAATTTTTATATTTTTCCCTTGATTTTTTCGGCAAAAGGCTTTGGCGGCAGAATTGGTAAAATAATGAATAATTACAATCAGCTGATTGTCAAAGCGCGCAAAAAGATGGGAGTTGGCCATCTTTTCGCTTCGCGTTGCAGCTTCAACGATTTATGTGGCATGCTTTGTGCATTTTCATACAATTCATCTTATCTGTCAAAGCGAATCTGTCACGTAAAGCGAAGCAAAAGTTTTATGTGGCATCAGCTTAAACGACGATATGTAGAAGTATTTCATACATATTTTGGTGCCTTTTCAAGCATAAAATCCATTGAGAAACGGAAGAAAACGGCATCCCTATGATTTCAACTAATGCCAAACGTTTCGTAAACAAGCAATTCTGAACAAAAAACTGTTTTTCCACAAAGATGTTTAAATGGAAGCATTACAAATATGGAAAAATTGCAATCCACAAGGCTTTATTGGCAGTAGGTCCCTTTTAAAGCACATTTAACAAAAAAATAAGCTATTAGTTTCGAAGTTAGCACAAAATGAAATTTTTTTGTTTGTTGTTTACAAAAAAATACTTGCCAAGTATATAAGTCAAAATTGTTAAATATAAATCGATTTCATTCATTTCTTCATAGAGTTGGTGCTTCTTTTATAGGAAAATTCATACGGCTTATGAACAGATTCATACCATGTAAATGCACCATTACTAAGTAGTATTCTCCTTTCTATGTTGCCGGAGAAGAGGGGCTTCCGCATGTCAAAGGTATACAACACTTCTTGTGCATATCACTCCGGCTACGCCATCCACATTTTTTTTGTGCAGAACCCATATCGAAATTTGCAAAAAAGTGTATAGTGCAAACCGAATTTATTAATAAGCTAGTGGTCGGAAATTGAAATATTTATTTTAAATAAAATTTTAATCCTTTGGTTACACGTGATGTTAAAGTTTTTGGATTCGGGTTATGCGTTTGGACACAACAACCGAAAATCATTATACAAATAACTAAACCGGACCCAAGTTTCTCGATAAGAGGCAACAAAGATTCTTTTTTGCTCGTTTATATAAAGCAGTGGATAAAAATATACGTATATGCGAAAGGCAAATTTATCTGTTTAAATGAACACCACTAATATTTCCTGAAAACACACATCAATTTACATCTTTTATCTCGCCTCCGACACAGAATTGTTTTCGTACAAAATTACGCAAAAAAAGCTTACTCGTTCGTTTTAAGGCATGCCATTGTTACGAATTTCGAAAGTTCGAAAATACGATTGGGATTGCAGCATACTATTTCTACGATTCGTAGCAAAATCCGAACGCCCTGTTTTATTTTCCTCGGTTTGCTCGCTATGTCGATTTGTTTGAGTCCCTGTGGGAGAGAGGAGGTCTCTATGTCTTCTAGTAGCGTTGAATGGCTGACAGTGTCGAACGAATTAGACAGGTCCAGCGCTACTAATGGTTCTCTCACAGGGGCGCTTATGGTTTAGGCCACGAGTTATCTGGGTATTTATGGCGTTCAGTGCTGTTGTCGTTCTGTGCACTTTACGGAACCCATGCTGATGCTTCGCTGGGGTCAGGTGGTTTGTAAATTACGGGAGTAGCAAAGCCTCTAGTGTC